ATGGTTTCTCCTGTCTTTTTACCATTAATATATAATTATTGTGAACTGTTTTTTTTTTACTCTTTTGCTGGCTAAATGAACATCTTCATAGGAGCTCTTTATTTCTTCATTACTGTGGCTGCAGGTTGGAGCATAGACTTGAACAATCTTGAAGTTGTACCTGTTATTTAGTTTTTTGTTACTGAAGCCACTCATTCACTTACACTATAGAATTCCACAATATTCTTTTCTAAATGTATCTGAACTAAGAAACCTACCCCTAATTCCTGATTGCTGCCTTTGCAATAGAGTACTTGGCCTACAAATTACCATTTAATGAAAGAGTTCCTCAAGTAAGTCAGATTCAGTTCTCAGTGTCCCTATATTATATGTACAAAAGTTCATCAACGTGGGGCAGACTGCTCCAGAGAGATCCTGATCACCATAACCAGGAGCTCTGTTGCCTCTGTGGAATGAGGGCCATTGCTTTTGTTTGTGCAGTCATTGTTTTTGATTTAGAGGTAGACAGCCAAATTACCCCCCCACCTACTTGGTAGGAGGGGGAGTAGGTTAGCCAGGATGCCACTGATAAGCCCCTCCCCTCCCTGTCTAGTGTGGACTTATGAGCAGTAACGCATGGGCCTGCTCACTACACCATGGTATACTCCCATGAGCACGAGCTTGAGTATCAGAAATACATATATGTAATTATATTTTATACACTGATTTCAATTAGGTGAATGTACACCTAGTGCAGACGTAGTTTTTTACCCGCAAATGCCCTAAGTACTACGAATATGTTCATTTTCGTGCACCTTTACATGTATGTGCAAGTTTATGAGTACACATTAGTGTTCACCCACATATATAAGTACAGTAAGTCCCCAACTTAAGAACATAATGGGGACCGAGAGGCTGTTTGTAAGTCGATTTTTTGTATGTCAAAAGTCGGGTCTGCATTACCTTTTTTCCCATTGTTTTAAAGTTTTGTTTACATTATGAATACCTGTAAATAAATCCCAATACCTGTAATATGTAATGCTTTTAATATTATTTGATGGTGATTCATACAACTGTAGAAACATAAATTATTCAAAAAGAAAATATATTGTAGTGGTGATGGTAGGCGACTGAGGCAAGTGATGTCCACAGCTAAGTGAACTTGGCAGCGCCAGGGTGTGGCAAACTCGTGAACAATATTTGCGCCCGGGAAATTTAAAGTTTGCTAGCATCTTTCAAACAATTTTTTGGACTTCAGTATTTAAAAAGTTTTGTTCATATGTATGGAATGTTCAGAAGTAGAATGTTCTTAAGTAGGGGACTATCTGTATACACCTGCACATGCATATAAATATATATATATATATATATATATATATATATATATATATATATATATATATATATATATATATAAATGTATATATATATATATATATATATATATATATATATATATATATATATATATATATATATATATATATATATATATATATAATATATATATAATATATACACACACACACACACACACACACACACACACACACACACACACACACACACACACACACACACACACACACACACACACACACACCTACACATATACATACATATAGATACACATACACATACATGTACTGCTTTATATATATTGTTTTGTTGCTCCATTTGAGGGGGAAGGGTGAACAGAATACAGAGCTCTGCTGAGATACACAAGTATATTCTGGAGGAGTGTACAGCACTAGTTTACATAAGGGTTACATATGCATGCAGTATTTATAATGGGATACGTTACTAGTGTTATAATGTAAAGTATATAGAATACATAATTATAAGTAAGATAATTATGGTTGATCTTTATGACACCCCTCTTTTTCAAAAACAAATTAAAATGGGGTTAGATTCTTATCATATTTGTGGTATAGTATTTGGTTGTTTGTTACAAAAATATTTGAGAATCTGCAGTGTATCAAAAATATAGTTTGACATTCATTGAGCACCTTGTTTTGAGAATCATGTTAGTATACCATTATTAAAGCACTTTCCATAACACTATTGAACACTACACATAAACACTGTAGAGAATGAAATGGATTACAAGTTTAGTCTATTAGGCTTTTTGATGGTAAAGCCACATTTTGTTCTTGTGCCATCACAAGTTGATTCTTGCTCTTGAGGCACTTCTTTAGGAGCTTTGCTCACATGATCTTCCTCGTTATTCATATTCAATTTAGTTTCAGTAGACTATTCTGCATGTTCTTTATCTGGAAGTGGATGCTTGGATTGTGGCATCTGCTTGATGTGTCGTCTGTTTCTTTGTATACCTCCATTTTGTGTTTCAACTATGTATAACTGAGGTTCTTTGGATTTTTCAACAACTGTAGCGGGTAATGTGGTCTTGAACTTGAACAGCTCGGCCTGGTAGGAGTGCTTGTTGGCCTTTTGCTCCTCTGTCGTAATACTGCTTCTGAGTGTCTTGCTTCCTTTTGAAGTTATCGTAGACCTCTTGTTTCTGCCCTTCCTTTGTAGACAGGTGAAAGGGTAAGTTACTCCTCATCTTCCTCTCGTTCAGAAGTTCTGTTAGGCTTGACAACTTGCTATCCAGTGGTGTGATATGTAGAGTTAACAATGCCATTTCTGGATCCTTGTTGCTTCTTTTTGCCTTGTCAATGGTGAACTTGTTATATGTTCAAAGTCCCAGTTTG